AAATATTTTGAAAGATTTATTAAAAATTCATTTTTTCCAGGATTTAAAAGTTATTCTAAAATTGCACTAGAAATGATTTAATAAAATTGTTTGGGAAAATGAAATTATAATTAAAAAATAAAATACATAGTTGTCATGTTAGTGTGGCTCTAACCGCCAATATTTGGAGTGGTAGAGCTAAACAAGATTATATTTGTGTGACTAGTCATTATTTTGATAACGAATGTAAATTAAATAAATCTTTATTGGGATTTAGATTAATGGATGTGGATCATAGTAGTCAACAAATTTATAATAAAATTGTTGAAGTTTTAGAAGATTATGATGTTGTTCATAAAGTGATAAGTTTAACTTTAGATAATGTAAGTGCTAATAGTAGAGCTATAGATTTTTTGAAAATAAATTTTCCTGTTTATGACAATTTGAAGTGTTTTCACCAACGCTGTGCATGTCACATTATTAATTTAATTGTGAAAAGTGGTATGAAAAAATTTAGAAATAATATTGATAGAATTAGAGATTTTTTAGCTTGGATTACTAGTAGTAATTAGAGGTGGGCACGGGACCGGTCCCTTGCGGGCCCAGGCCTGGGCCCGTTTGGGACTGGTCCCTTGGGACTAGTCCCAAATGGGACCAGTCACTCATGGGCTTGGGACCGGTCCCAGACCCATGAGAAAAACCAGGACCCGGACCAGGCCCTAGGCCTGGTCGGGACTGGTCCCATGGGCCCAGGACCAGTCCCATGGGCCTTGGATAATTTCATTTTCCCCCCTCAATTTTTTTATATTTTGGGGGCAAAACGAAATTTTATAGGGGGTTTTTAGTATTTTTTTTAGGGGTAAAATTTATAAATTTTATAATTTTTTTAGACCTGGAAGATTTTTTTTTTATATAAATTTTGTAAAATTTCATTTTAACCCTCGTAATTTATATTTACTTTAAAATTAACAGGGGGTTTTATGTAATTTAGTAGGGACTACATTAAAAAAATACAATTTTTTTTGGGCCCGGGCCTTGGAGGAGGGCCCAGTGGAGGGCCCGGGCCCTCCTCCTTAGGCCTGGTCCCAAAAAAGGTCCGGTCCTCTCAAGGACCAGTCCTAGGACCGGGTTTTAAAGCTGGGCTTTTGGGCCCGGTCCCAAATGCCCAGCTCTAGTAGTAATAGACGAAATGCTGAATTTTAAGATGCTTGTATAAAATCAAATATGTCTCCTAGAACTTTTGCATTAGACATGCATGTTAGATGGAATAGTAACTTATTTAATGTTTGATTCATGTTTACCTTATGCAAATTTAATTAGTTATTTTGTAGCAAATAATAGAGGTCTTCATTATTTGGTAGACAGTGATTGACATATAACTCAAAAATTTCATTCTTTTCTTAAAAAATTTTATCAATCCACTTTACAACTTCTGGTGTGTGTTATCCTACTAGTCCATTAGTAATATATACAATTATAAAAATTTCAAATTTATTTAAAAAAAAAAAACAAAAACAATGAAATTTTAGCGGGACCAATAGAAGCAATGGAATTAAAATTTAAAAAATATTAGAAATTCATTCCTTTTCTTTATTGTTTAGCTGTCATGTTTGATCTTAGAATTAAATTAGCGCGTTTAGAAAATGGTTTAGACACGTTAAGTGAAAATTTACGAGACGAAGCATATGCCAATCAACTATGAGAGATAAGAGAGTCTTGCGGAGGTATATTTGCAATATGAAAACAGGTATGGGAACCAGCGAAGAGGCGAAATACCCGAGGAAGTAGCATCAGAAGAAACAAATGAAGACTTCGACTCCTGAAGTGCACTTAATAGGCCGAAGAGGACCTGAACCCGAAGCACAGTCTCCTCTTCAAAAGCATCAACAACGAATGTACTGTCCTCCTTGCAGCTACAGAGTAATGAGCTTCACCAATATTTGGGAACCCCTGACGTGCTACCGGCAGATCCACAACAAAGAGCCAACTTTGATGTCTTAGAATATTGGAAAACCAGAAAATGTATTTTTCCGGTATTATCAAGACTTGTCCTGGATGTTTTCTCTGTTCCTGTCTCAACCGTCTTATCTGAACAAACATTTAATGCAAGTGGAAGAATTTTAAATGAAATGAGGACTAAACTTTCACAAAAAAATTATTGAAGTCCTCACATGTCTTCGAGATTAGGAACGGTCCTGCCATCAGGATCAATACGATGTTATCGACGATACTTTAATAGAATCATTTCAATTTTGTAATATAGATGATACGGATGAGGGAGGTCCTAGTTAATTCCTAAATTAGTTATTTTGTAAACTTTTTGTAACTTGTAAATTAATTGTCAATTATTGCACTCTTTTTTCCTTATCAAGTTTTTATCCCAATTGGATTTTTCTTAGTAAGGTTTTTAACAAGGTAGTAATTGTTATATTTTCTTATTTCTTATTTCTTATTTTATTTTTTGATAAATGAATAAATCTAATTTTTCTTATATTACAATTTAATTGAATTATTATTTGAAATGTTAACAAAAAAAAATTAATTTAATTGAATTATTGATATTTGAAAAGTTAGTTAAAAACAATTACACAAAAGAAAAAAAAAATTTAAAAGAAAAATTTCGGGCTAGCTCGGCCCGGCTCACACCAAAACCCACCGGGTTAGGGTTGACGGGCCGGGCTAGGCCAACCCTTCTAACAGAGAGGCGGGCCTAACCTGGCCCACCCTTATTGACGGGCTGGGTTAGGCCCAACCCATCTTTTTGCATAACCAGCCACGGGCCGGGCTGGATAGGTTATTTTTCCACCACTATTCACAACCTAGTATCCTCAACCCTCGAGTCTTCTAAAAGTGGAGGCATTCATTTATGCCGTCATATAGTAAATAGATTATTTACGCGAGTTGACATTGTTTTAATAAATGAACTTATTTAATCACGTAATATATTTTTATTCCTCTGTGGTTCCAATACTATGCAATATAACCCTGTAAAATATTTTTCAATCCCTCTATATTTGCAGTCCTGGTACTTACACCAGAATTGTTTTTTTTTTTAATTACAAATATACCCTTATACTCAATACAACCATTGGATCTTATAACACTTAAATTTTTATTCTCTGGAAATATGATCTTATAAATATATAAAATTTCATAATGTCTTGACATATATAAAAACTGTAAGAAGAAAATGTTTAGAAACATGAAAATATTGTACAAAACTCTTGACAGTTTTTAAGAACTTCCTTCCTGCTCATCCTGCGCAGCCTTCATGTTGGCCTCCTTGCGAGGGGTCGTCAACTCAATTCTTAAGAAGAAATTTCATAAAATCATTCTTCTGTACATTAAAAAGACATTAAGATAGTTGGAATGGAGAAAGATACCCTTCCTTAAAAAAGAAAATAATAAAAAATAAAATAAATAGTCATCATTGTTTATTATTTACTGTTTGGATGTCTAAACTTACAATGACATTTATAAGAGAGCAATTATTGTCATTAAAGAGCTATAGATATTCAAAGCTAATAGAAAAACCAGCAGCACTGGCTGCGGAAGGCTGTGTCCTGTTTCAACTAATGAAATGTTCATCTTCTTTTAGCCAAACTCATACTGGTTTATTTTATAAAGCACTGCCCAATTTGCATTATACCTTTCTCCTCTTCATTTTCATTGCGCACATGTCTAATATTGCTTTGCTTCCTCCTGCTCAACCCAATATGCAATGCCCAATTTGTATCACATCTTTCCTTCATTTTCATCAAGCCTTTTAGTGTGATACTGTTAGGATCTCATATTGGAAGAAAAAAAATGTGGATATGTGGGTTATAAAGGGCTTGAGCACCTTCCCTTGGCAAGCCAATTTTCCAATGAGAGTTCTACCCAAGCTCATAAAAGGCCCACTGCCCAACCCAATTCCTATCAAAGGCCCACTGCTCAACCCAATTCTTATCAATTTGGAAGTGGGTTCCTATCAATTGGTATCGGAGCATGATCATGCGCCTACATGACAAGGCTTGAACTGCTACCCCGAGAAAGGGCATGGAGGCCTGAGAGAAAGGGGATCTGCGTAGTCACTCAAAGGGTAAAGACGCCCGAAGGAAAGGAGATCCGCATAGTCACTTAAGGGGTAAAGAGGCCCAAGGGAAAGGGGATCCGCGTAGTACCCAAGGGGTAAAGAAGCTGACGTGGATGTTGGTTGCGGAAGCGTGGTGGTATGTTAAGATCCCACATTTGAAGGGAAAATGGTGGGCATGTGGGTTATAAAGGGCTTGGACACCCTCTCTTGGCAAGTTGATTTCCAATGAGAGTTTTACCCAAGCCCACAAAATAACCACTACCCAGCTCAATTCCTATTAAAGGACCACAGCCCAATTCTTATCAAAGGCCCATTGCCTAGCCCAATTCTTATTACTTTGGGAGTGGGTTCCCATCAGGTACTAATTTTTGTAATCCTTGGGAGGGGCTTGAGATCTTTTGTCTAGGCCTTTGTATGATTATTTCTTTTATACGCAAAAAAGAATATATGTATTCTCCTAATCTAAGGTAACAAAAAAGATGAAGAAATAAAACTCCTCGGCCATCTTAACAAAGATATTTCTTTATCACAAAATTTTAAGAAATCGAGATTGATTTCTCAACATCATCTTTCATAAATTTTAGTACTATGCACAAGATTACTTAAATAAGCACCATTATGCAATCCTATCCCAACAAAGTAGAGGATTAACGCTTACACTTCGGACAAATATGACCATTAGAAGTGAGAGTATAAGGTTCTCCGCAGTTGTAACAGAATGCATGTCCACACCTGTATTCATTTATCCAAGAGACAACAACCATATTTAATTAATCACAATATATGTTTAGACCTGTTAAAAGCAAAGCTGATTCCCATTAACAATCCATAAACACAATAGCATCAATCAATAATTACCAAAGAGGTAACTGAATACATTCAGCTGAGTCACATTGAAATAACACAATACACATGCTAGATTGATTATGAGCAGAATTTAAAAATAAAAAAATAAAAATAAAAAATTGCAACTCAATCATACCAAAGTTTTTGGACCTAAAATCGGATCTGTTCAATCCATTCGCCCAGCAAAAAATTCTGAAAGTTAGATCAGATTTAATTATAGTATAGTCTTTGCCAAAATTATATGTGGCCAGTGTAAAAACATCATGTAAAACTTCACCAGAAGTTCATTCACACAAGTTTATCTACAAATGATCAAGACAAAGTCTGTAGTTAGCCTGAAGTAACAAGCTCCATGGATGAGGATAAGCAAGCCTTAAAAACATTTTAATCCCATGATAACACCACTGGAAAGAAGAGAAAACAGAAAACAGAAAAAATGTCACATGCTCACTGTCAGTTCAAGTAAATTAATAATACCATTTGGCAATAGCAATAAGAAAGAGGGGAAACATGGTAATTATCCTGCATCACATAACTCACTCACTAAGCAAATGGGAAAAGGATATAATCCCTTACTACATAAATTAATGTATAAAGATAGTGATAATAACCACCTGGTCCCATAAATCATGGTTCAAGAATAGACATAGCCGTAATGTGGTGAAAAAGTGGACTGGAATTGGGTATTGTCTATTGATTCCCCCGGGATAAACCTAAATTTCTATCTCAGCAATGCATTATTCTTAATTATGAGATGAAAAGCGCCATAGGACGGGGAGGCAGAGGAGGCAAACCAAAATCAATTTGCATAAAATTATACAATAATTTAACACAATGAAATTGACAACAATTCAAATCAAGTAGAGGCAATGGAAAGTTTATGGAAAATGAAACTGACCTGCACTTCATATGCATGCAACCTGATTTCTTCTCAACGAAGTACTTACAATAAGGACACCTCTTCCACTTCTTTTTCAGTGCCAGCTTCATCAACTTAATGTCTTCACCGCTTCTCTCATCCTTATTCAATTCTTGAAACTCCCTGCACTCAATCCCCGCATGCCAAGGAACTTTACATTGCGCACAAAATTTTCTCCTACAATTCGGACACTTTGTTTCACTTATAACCTCTCCTCCATCGTCAATCAAAAGCGCTGAACAATCTTTGTACGGACAATAAAACTTTTGTGCCTCGAGAATCACAGCCTCACACAAGGCACTTCCCCACCGATCAAAAACATCTTGAGGAAGAATATTTCTACAGTACTCGGGCTCTAACGATCCTCCACAGTCCGGTACTGGACAGGGGATAGAAGTAATGTTTTCTTGCAACTTTGAGGCCACGTATTTGGCCGTGCAGTCCTTACAGTACGCATGAGAGCAACCCTTTATGTTAAATGAGTCATTTGCAGTCCTGGGTTCGACGCAGATCTCACAAATAAACTCCGGGCCATCATCGTTTTGAGAATTTGAAGACTGCCCAGTTTCGGTTACGGAAGGATTTGAAAAGGGTTTTCTTCTTTTAGAAAAACGAGTGTTTAGGGGCTTAAAATTAAGTACATGTAAATCGTCGAAGTCATCGTTGTAGTTGTCGAGATGAATTAAGTTTTGTAGAGTGGTGGTGGTGTCGGTGGTGGGTTTAAAAAGAGAAGCCATGAGAGCATGCTGGAGTTCTTTATCTTCAGTGTAGTGATCAACTGCGATGGCAGTGTCCTTAGTGGTGCCGCCCTTTTGTAGAATGGGCGTTAAAAAGAATTCATCATCTTCAAGATCCACAATCTCAATCGGAAAATTCATCAGCTTCTGTGTCTGCGTCTCAAACTTGAGCCTCTTTAAGGATCTTTCTTCGGGCTTCATCATGAACATATAATAAATGTTGGGGCTGGGTCTGATGGTGATGAATTGCGGGTCTGTATAGGTTTAAAGACAGTTGGCGTTCTCTCTGCTCCGGAAAACTACAAAGGGCGATTGAATTGAAATGGAAAATTGGGAGATAATTATTGACATTGACTCCTGCTTTTTAATCGAAAATGCGTTTCTATTACGCCTTACACACTGCGAGTAAACTTTCTTGTTACTTTCCATCTTTAATATTATTTTGCCATTAAAAATTACATTGGATGATTAAACCAAAATCAT